AGGGATGAGTTAGGAGGAGCACAAAGAAGTTATTGTGACAGAAATTATAGGGTTCAAATGAAACATTATTCAAGAACATATAATATCATGTAATTTTCCCATTTCTTTTAACCGCACAAGGTGATTACTAATGTCGCAGGCATTGGTGAGGTTGTCATATTACATATTTGATGCATAAGTTAGCGATTTGAGAAAATATAAATCAAGTGAATGCTTGAAGAGTGTGTAATGCTTATGTTGCGTTAATTAACGAAAAATATTATCTAGCCCTTTGCTTGTCGTTCAAATTTACGGAGCCTTGGCTTTGACATTTAATATCATGTTTTTTAGGCACTAACAATATTAATTAATCGCTTGTGTCATGAGCTTAATGTGTTTTCGTGGTTCTCAGTTGAAAAGTAATATAAAGAGATAACTATTGAGCACATATGATATACTAATGCCCAAAAAAATATACCTTTCAAACTTAGTATGAATTGTGAATCTATCCTTAAAATCATTATATATTAAATATATAACTTTAATTGATCGTAAAATAAAATGTATCAAAATGATCAAAATTTTATTGGTTGTTAATCTCGACGTGTACTAAGCTTATTTGGATTTACAAATCAAACTTTCGATTATTAGGCTGATCCATTTTCTCATTAAAATGGGAGAAGCCCTTTACAAAGATGTCCCTCTTACATACAAACTTGTACAAAGATAATATTTTATTCCTTGCGTTGCAAGAAGAAGAGGAAGAGTCAAACCAATTCGCTTATTGAAACTTTGGCACCTCTTCACATTGACAGCTTTCTTCTCAACATCAACATGAAGACCGAGGAGTCCACTAAAGTCGTCATCTTGGAAGGTATCTTTTATTTAAAGTGTGGATTTTAGTCTCTTGGGCTGATTAAAAATATATTAGGTTGTGCAGAGTTCATAGGTTGAAATCCCATTCATGCAATTTCGCCAGGATTTGATTTATAACTAAAAGTTTTAATTTTTTTTTTTAATTTATTTATGTGTTACGTGGTATATATAGTAATCAAAGTATTTGTCTACAAGACTGATGACATAGGAAGTGTCCATTCATGACAACCAGGGGCGGATCTAGAAATTTCTATTAGGGTAGGCCAAATAAAAATTTTTAGTTCTAAAATTGAGAGTGGGCCACAATTTTTTAATATTTGATAATAAAAATTAAGGGTGGGCCAAAGTCAAACTAAATAAAGTAATGTATTTAATTTTTGTTTTTTAAAAATTATACACTTTGGATCCGCCCCTGATGACAACATAGTTTTACCAAAAAGTTCTTGGTTGTTAAAGAAAAAAAAATATGAAAGTGCTTAGTCATGCTTTAACTCTTTTGGATAGCAAATCAAGAGTTTAAAGTTTAGTGTTTAGAGCTTTCGGTATTATAAATCGTTTTGGTGAAGAGAGAAAAGGTGCCAAATGAATGCTAAAGATTGTACATTGAAGTGGCATATAGGAATAGCAATTCGGTCAGGGGATGGTTGGTACAAGAATGGAAGTTAGAATAGAAAATGTTGAGAGAGAAGTGTCAAAACTTGGGAGAGATATTGGTGCTGTTCTGGATTGTTTAATGGAGATGCGAGAATGGATGAGGAGAAAGGATGAAGAAGACGAGAGAAAAAGAGGCAAAGAAATTTCGTCAGAAAGACAGAGGTCAAGAGAAAACGAACAGGGACGAAATATGGGGCACCGAGCTGAAAGAGAAAACTGGAACGCTGGTATGCTAAGTCGGAATAATCTGGGTGGCCGGAAACTAGAGCTTCCCATTTTTTCTGGCAAGGATCCTCACGGGTGGATATTCCGAGCCAAACAATATTTTTCAGTCAATGGAATCACAGAACCAGATCGTCTTGCAGCAGCGGCCACGTGTATGGACGACGATGCCGTAAATTGGTAACGATGGATGGAAGTTCAAGCTCCGATGACTTCTTGGGCAACCTTTAAATTGTCATTGCTTCACCGTTTCAGTAGGTCACAAGAGGGAAGTCCATATGAAGCACTGATGGGAATCCGACAGCTAGACACGATGGAGGAAGATCGTCGAAAATTTGAAGCGATCTCTGCTCCGTTGGTTGAAGTGAAAGAAGAAGTTTTAATAGTTGCCTTTCTTAATGGGTTGGCATCAGAAATTCGGGACGAAATCAGGTTAGCCCAACCTAATAATGTAGTTCACTTATTAGATTTGGCCCAACAAATAGAGAAGAAAAATTGGGCCTTGGAGGACTTAAAATTTGGGTTGGACAAACATGGGAAAACAATTATAATTTGGCATGGGCTTGTACAAATTGAAATTGGGCTTGGGAAAGGGCATGGGCCAGCAAACTTGGGGGTGGGGCAAGGAACCGGGTCAGAGGAATTCGGGTCAAGGATCCAATTTCCTTATAACAAAAACAAATCGCAAGAATCCAGATTTTCCCTTCTCCCCGAAAGTCCAAAATATCCAGCCAACCCAACGCCGACACGCTGATCTTGGGAGAAGTTGCATTCTAATTCCATGCCAACAGCCGGTTACCGGAGCACAAGCTTAGAAGCACTTCGAGCGATCGACTCTAACATCCCTCAACTGTGAACAACCCCTTTTTGGCGAATTACAGAAGTGGAGGAAGAATTTAGTAAGGAAGAAGAGGGTGGTGAAGGAGTGGAGGAGCGGGATGGTGTCGGGTAAACAATTTCCCTCTTCCCACCTTGAGGACAAGGTGGAATTGCTTGGGGAGGGTAATGATGAGACCCTTAGGTGTTGATCTATAATAAGAAACATAGGAAGGGGCAGTAGTGGATTAACTGTGATTAAAAGGCAACTAACGTGTGAAGAGAAGAAAAAGTGGAATGGACAGGTGGCGAAAGGAGAATGGTGGATGGTTGAATTCTGTTAAGAGAAGGGAGTGAATAAAAGGAGCAGCAGAAGATTGAGAGAGGGGTATCTGAAAAGTGAATAGTGAAGGGGAGGTAGTTGGCCCTCGAAGTCTAGCATGGAGGTTGTTGGCCCTCGAAGTCCAGCATATTAGTATTCCGTTGTTATTTTGATTAATTTCCTTGATGTTTCCTTGAATTGTTTGAATATACTCTGGTATTTATCAAAAAAAAAAAAAAAAAAAAGGCCGATGTGGACGTCGGTTACAGAAGCGTGGTGGAATGTTAGGATCCCACATTGAAAGGGAAAAGGGTGGGCATGTGGGTTATAAAGGCTTGGGCACCCTCCTTTGGCAAGCCGGTTTTCCAAGGAGAGTTCTACCCAAGCCCATGAAAGACCCATGGCCCAGCCCAAATTGTTGAGTTATTAGAGTGAGTTCCTATCAATTGGTATCAGAGTATGATCCTGCGCCTATGTGGCAGCGCACGCGTCATAGGCTGACCCGTGGCAGGCTGACCTTGGGCCTGGGCTACTACCCCGAGAAAGGGCATGGAGGCCCGAGAGAAAGGGGATCCGCGTAGTCACCCAAGGGGTAAAGAGGCCGACAGGGGTAAAAAGGCCGACAGGGGTAAAGAGGCCGATGTGAACGTCGGTTGCAGAAGCGTGGTGGAATGTTAGGATCTCACATTGAAAGGGAAAAGGGTCGGCATGTGGGTTATAAAGGCTTGGGCACCCTCCATTGGCAAGCTGGTTTTCCAAGGAGAGTTCTACCCAAGCTCATGAAAGACCCATGGCCCAGCCCAAATTGTTGAGTTATTAGAGTGGGTTCCTATCAGAATGCAATATAAAGATTAGTCATTATTAAATGCCGACGTTCTGAAATTTTTAACATAAGGACGAAAGATGAGTATCTAGACGTTCGCTTCACAAACCCTGCAATCAAAAGTAAGCAACTAGATGCTCAACTTTGGTCCACATGTTAAAAGTTTCAGGACATCATTATGGGAGAATTTTCAATATAAAGATTGCATTAGTGCCTTAATTTCTTGCCTTGGTTCTTATGGTTGGAAGGATTATAAATTCACTTATCTGGTCTTTTTATTTTTCCTTCCTGCAAGCAAACAGCTGTTTGCTCTAGCCCTGGCATGGGGTCCTAGAAAGTTCTTATCGTTGCATAAACTCAAGGATCCATTAATACAGGGTTTATTGGTGGATGACGCTTGCATCATTGAAGCAGAAGTTACTGTGCTGGATTGATTGGAACAGAGTGATGAAATCTTTTGCTAAATTTCTCAGAATACTTTAGCTAGAATGATTTGGTTTATGTTCCTATTTTTTCCCCTTCTATATATGCTTGCTATTTTCTTATACTTCAATTAAACTGGTTCTATTCAATTCGGGCCATTTTGTTTTCCCTTCAATAGTTACCATTTGCAGTAGTTTAAAGAGATAGTACTGTTCGATGAAATAGAAATTTATTGGAAGACAACGAGCAAAACTTATTAAAGATTGCCATGTTTAAGGCCAGAAGTCAGGCAACATTGAAGGTATTTATATTGTTGACAAGTGATGTTATATTTACAAAGTTGGCATCCCAACTGACGTAGTTGTTTATGTGGTAACGTCACTTTGATTATAGGATGATGAGGTAATTGAGATAAGCGTGACTATTTTTAAAGTAGAGATTCTATCTTTGTTTACATACCATTATTGCATTGCTGAAACAATCATGGGATAAATTATCTAATTTTACTTGTTGATCAGGAGCAAAGGCGGATGCTACTCATAGCCCACCCTAACAGAAATATTAATGGACAAAATATTAATATGTAATTAATTTTTATTTTGGTCCACCTGAATAGAAATTTCTGAATCCACCCTTGATCAGGAAGTAAATAATCTTATTTCAATATTTGGGCAAGTAGAATCGATTTAACCTTGCCTTTCTTACAAACTTGAACAAAATGATCTTATTCATTCCTTGCCTTTCTTACAAACTTGAACAAAATGGTCTTATTCATTCCTTGCCTTGCAACAAGAGGGAAAACTCAAAAATAAAAACCGTGTCTCAAGCCAAAGCGCCTATTTAGACTTGGCACCACTCCAAATTCAGATATCTTTCATCAACAACATGAACACTGAGGACTCCTCTGAACTTTCCAATTTCTCTCTTCTCAACAACATGAATGCCGGCGACTCCATTGAAGTTGCCATCTTGAGAGGTACATTATTTTATTTATATATTATATTTTAGCTGCCAATTAAGTAAATACAAAGTACAAAATTAAAGTCCTCGGGTTTTGGTCTGTACGTAAAAACTTGTAGGACGATTGCACCTGAAAATTTTCACACACACACATACTTTATTCTTCATGCTAGTGCTTTGGTAGCTGTATGATGTTAATTAGTGGGCTTAATGATATGAGCCGAAGATTTTTCACCCGAGTTATTCACTAACTTTCATATATTGAACTATATACTCTCCCTGGAGATAATTTCATGGAATTTATTAAAATTGTAATAAGTTTTACCCTCTTTCAGGAAGGGATGCTCTGCCTAGTCATTTCTTGTTCAAAATCGAGCCCTTCTCATTACTAAAAGCTTCAATTGATATATACAAAACGAGCCAATTTGAAGCAGGGGGTTTCAAAAGGTATTTTATTTCTTGGTTGAAATGTTTTCTAAAACAGTTTTATCTGCTTTCCATAGTTTTTGAATATGCTTACTTGCCAAATTAGTATCAAGACCTTTCTTTGTTTCAGTTTACCATTGGGCCTGGTTTTATAGGAGATTGCTGATATACCCAGCTGGGGAATCTAGCAAAAACAGGGAAAATCATATCTCCATTTACCTGGAATTGATGGAGACAAGTTCTCTCCCTGCAAGATGGGAAGTCAATGTGATTTTCAATTTTCTAATATTCAATCAGCTTCAAGATAAGTATGATAGTCTCCAGGGTAAAGTGCTCAAAGACTAACCGCAGAGTTCATACGAGGATCTATTGTTTATATGCTACGTTTGCATCAACTTGTGGTACCACATATTCTCTCTTATTTTGACAGGGTAAATTATATGGAAAGAATGGTGATAAATCCAGTGCCTTAGTTTAGAACTTGTTATGCTTTTACACTCAATAGATTCATTAATGTTTGTGATTGGTTGTGTTAGGAGATACCATGCAATGAAAACCGAATGGGGTATCACCAACTTCATAGATCTGAAAGCATTTCATAATCCCCTTAAAGGATACCATACCGATCATACTTGTGTCTTTGGCGCTGAGGTTTTTGTCGTCAAAAGTACTTTTAAAGAGGAGTGCTTATCAATGATCAAAGAACCGGCTACATGTTACCATGTTTGGAAAATCACAAAAATTTCAACTCTACTTGATGAAAAGTATGCGTCTGAACCATTTGGAGATTATAACTGGTACAAATTTACTTTTGATATGCAATGGCTTTTATTTCTCTTTGCTATATAAACCACTGCCTGAGTTGGTTAATATTTCATTAATGCAGGAAAATTTCGTTCTAGCCTAATGGATGTTTAGAAGCCAAGGGCAACAATATTTCAATTTTTCTACTGTTGCACAAGGAAAGCATTCCTCTGAGTACTAAGTTATTTGTGAAATTCATTCTACGTGTCAAAGATCAAACAAAAGAAACTCATGTCGAAATTGAATGTGAGACTCCTTATTGTACAACTTCAAGTAGAGCTTATGATAACATAGTTTTTTTCTCATACGTAAGGAATGTTTAAATGCAATATAAAGATTGCATCAGCGCTATAATTTCTTGTTGTAACTCCCTTTCCTATTCGTCATTATAGTTTTTATTTTTTCCTTCCTGCAGTTGAACAGGTTTTTTCTCCAATCCTCCTGAACTGGGATGCCAGAAAGTTCATGTCACTGCATAAACCCAAGGATCCAAAACAGAGTTTCTTGGTGGATAACACTTGCATCATTGAAGCAGAAGTTACTGTGCTTGGGTTGATTAAAACTTGAGTCATGAATATGTTGATAAATGTCTCAGAATGATTTAGCTACAATTATTTGGTTTAACTTGGCTTGGCCTTTAACCATAAATGCTGCTATTTTTTTATACTTCAATTCAAACTGGTTCTGTTCAATTTGGACAAGTTGTAATGCATTTCAATGAAAGACTATAGAATCCAATTCATCATAGCAACTAATATGCTTGAGACAAATAATGTTACTCAACAAATTGTTACATTATTGGTACATGATATTACATGAAAAATTACATGTAATACAGTTTTATTGCAATCAATAAGTAATAGTGTGAATTCAATTCAAGCTCAATAGTTCTGCAATATCACTTTGCTCAATCATATGCGGTGGTTCTGAACTAGAAATCAAGGGCAGGTTCATTATCAGGGACTCACCGGATTTGTCATATAGAACTGTTTCAAGTGTGTATTTCTATTAGTCCATAAGCCGATCCACTGTTTGGATAATAATATAGATGATTGACAGGTGATAGAAATTGAAGTTATTAATGCTCAAAAACTGTTTCAAACACTAACAAGTTAAATATAATATTATTTGAAGAAAAATAAAATAAAAAATTAATGTTTGTTAATATATTCAAAGGCTAATCTTTCATTGGACGTCCCCTTCTCTTTTTAATTTTTGAAGGCCTCAGTTTCTTGGTTGCGCGCATGGTGCTCTTATCAGCCAGCACCTTCCCACATACACCACAAGATCTGCAATTAAACATATAAAGTGGATATAAAAATACTATCAATTTGCAAATTAATGAAGAATTAATTTAATAAATATAAATTGTATTACTTACATGAAATAGCCATCTGAAAGCACCTTGGTGAGTCTGAAACAATGATCACAGTAGTAAAGCTTTTTGGTCGTTAACCTTAATTCTCCTTCTCCCAATGCCATGCTTGAGCTTTGAGTTGTATAATTACGCTACAATTTACAACTATATATAACTTGTTAATAGAGTCTCCGTCTCCGAGTCTTGATTGGAGTTGGAGAGAGAGTCTTAATTCCTTGGTGAACAAGGATAACGTTACCCTATTTTTTTTACATCCCCTCAAACACAAACAACGAACAAATTTCCCCTACCAATTTGGGAATTAACCATTCACACCCCTATTCTGAGTTTTGGCTATTAGTTTGGCTGGAAGACCATAGTTGACCTACGAAAAAACTAAAATGCCCTATAATGTGGTTTTGAAAAAGAAAAAGAAACTCCAAATAAAAAATTAAAGAAAACTTTTAAAATTTATTTATTTATAGATATTTTTAAATATATAGGAATATACATAATTATTTATATTTTTAACTTTTTTCCGTTTAATTTTTTTTTATTATTTTGATTTTTCTGACTTAATTTGATAAAATAATAAAATCAATCAATCAATACAAGTATAATTTGCATTTTTAGCTCATTTAATTAATAGAAGTTAAAGGAAATAATTTTTTCTTTAAGTGAATTGAAGGGTAAAATGACTTTTTAACCCTTCTTTTCATCCATTTGAATAGTAGAATCCCCGCCATTACTAATCATGGGTAACCATTGGACACTTACTTAATCGTTAACTTCAAAATTCTAGAAGACTAGTTGAAGTATATATAAGCTAGCTCAAACACCTCCGAATACCAAAAAAAAAAAAAAAAAAGAAAAAAAAGAAAAAAAAAAATTAACAATAAGGGTGTAAGTGACTAACTCCCGAGTTGGTGGGGTAATTGTTTGTGTTTGAGGGGGTGTAAGTTATTTCATTTTATTTTTAATCAATTTTGGATAAGAAAATAATAGAGTTACCGAAAATTACACACCGAATCTATACACCGAATGACGTGATAAAATCCTGATCATTGATTAATATTAACTTATAATGAATCAACCGTCAAAATTTTATCATATTATTCGATATACGAATTTAGTGTACCTCATTCGGTAACTATTACATTATTCTTTTGAATAAACCCCATGTGTTCCAAGAACTATGAAAGCATTCATTGGATTGGGAAATTGGACCTTAACTGCCCAATTTTTCTTTAGACAAAGCTGTCAGAGTGTGGAAATGTTAATTTTACCTTTAAAGTACCTAAATACCCTCAAATTGATAACAAAATTATCAATATACCCCTCTACAGAAAAGACATATTCAATGTAATCATTGCAAATTTTGTTTATATAGATTGACCATAATGCCTTTAATTAACACTGTCAAATTATCATTCCGCCCTTAGTAGATGAAATTTTACAGTTTGAATGTGATCCAACGGTCATAAAGCAATGGATATTAAAAGAGCTAGAAATGCAATAAAAAAACTCATTTTCATTCATCTGCCTAATACATGTTTCTTATATAATCGACCACAACAACGTTATCAAGCAACACAAGTAACCCTGTAAAAATTTCAAATTCTACGTCAGTCTGTGTAAGAAGGAAAATTGGTGTTGTCAAGTTTAATGAGGAATGGTGTAGATGTGGAAACTTAGCTAATATAAAGATCTCCCAGACAATAAAGAATACGGACATACTTTTTTTTTTTTTTTGCGCACCCGTGACCTCTATGCTTGGTGGGTGCCAAACAATTACAAGTACAAATACAACATAAACCATGAAGAAGCTAATCTATTCCATGCCAAAGAAAGAAATGTCACAACACAGTTATTATGTGTATTTATTGGAGTCATGTAGGTTTGGTTTAATTGATTTAGAAAAAAAAAAAGGCATATTTGAAGTTTATAAGCAGAAAAATAGACCATATATTATAAAGTTATACTAAATCACGTGCATATGCAAGATGATAAAAACTAAAGCAAGGAAAGCATTAAAAACAGTAGCTTAACATTGACACTATGTTGAAAACTTTCATTTACTAAACCACGGGAGTTTCTTATGTATATTGATCAAATTTTAGAGTGAGTTATTTGTTGAAAATTGATTCATTAGCAATTCATAAGGAATAGGAATTTAGCAATCCCACTTCTAATGAAATAGGATTACGATAATTTGTAATCCTACATCAAATGGTAATATAAATGAGATTAGGATTTTGGGCTTATATAAAGGATATAAGAGAAGCAAGAATGAGCAGGAAGAAGAAATTTGGCTGCTTATATTTCCATTCAACATCACAGGTATATATACAAGTGTAAAAGACCAAATACAAATTTAAAACAAAGATCATTGATTACTTCTTCTCTCGACTGATTCTCTTTCGGTCTTCTCTAATATGCCCCCTCAAGATGGAGCTCAACTAAAGAGATCAATCTTGGTGCACAGAGAAAGAAACCGAGACCTGGGGAGTGGTTTGGTAAGAGCATCTACAAGTTGGTCTGCACTAGAAATATGAGCCACACGTAGAGAGCCATTTTGAACTTGATCATGAATAAAGCGAAAATCAATAGCGACATGTTTCATTCATTCATGAAAAGCTGGATCTATCACAATAAATCATAGGACAATGAGGAATAACAATACCAAGTTCAGTAAGAGAGAACACACCCAGTTGAGCTCAGCAGCAGTAGAAGCAACAACTCTGTATTCAGCCCCGGTAAAGGATCTAGCAACCGTGCGTTGCTTCTTTGAACTCCAAGATATTGGATTGTGACCAAGATAAACAACATAACACTGGTAGAAGAAAAATCATCCTTGTTGCCAGCACAATCAACATCAGAATATGCATGTACGGAAAGTGGATGATCACGGTAAAATTGAATGCAATCATTAAAGGAACCGCAAAGATAACACAATAGGCGTTTGACAAGAACCCAATGGTTGGTAGTTGGCCAATGCATGAATTGAGAAAGTTTGTTGACTGCAAAAGCCAAATCTAGCTGTGTGATTAGTAGATATTGTAAGCTCCTAACAATAGTTCTATACTCTATAGGTTCCGAGAGAGTGGTACCTGACTGTAGTGTAATAGGAGGACTGGTAGGAAGGGGAGTGAGTATCGGCTTAGCATTTATCATGTTTGTTCGAGCAAGAAGATCCATAATATAACGTCTTTGAGAAAGCAAGATACCATTGGCATTTTGAATAACTTCTATACCAAGAATATAAGATAGCTCTCCAAGATCCTTAAGAGAAAATTGGTGAGAAAGTAAATGCACAAACCGTTGAACCAAATCATCATTATCACTAGTAACAATAATGTCATCAACATAAACCAGAAGATAGATAATATGACCTCTAGTTTTGAGTGTTAGAGTAGGTGTCCAAAGTCAATCATATATTGTATATTGACTCTATGAATCATGTTATTCTATTAATAAAAGGCATCGTTTATATTATGTAAACCATATTCCATATGTATGTGTTAATATATGTCCTTAGAGTGGTTGAACCGTGACGATGGAATCAGCAGTGATAAGTCTTGATTGTGAGATCCATATGATCACATTTGGTGGCCATTCTAGAAACATCCATAGCCCTAGTATTATCCTGACTTAGGGCACAGATAATACGGTAAAACTATCATAACTTTGAACGACATAACTGAATTTGAATATGTCAAGGTGCTTCATACTTGAAGCTGACATTATTTTTGCGCTTCAAACCTTAATGAGATAATAGATGATGAAATGATTTGATTGCACGGTAACCATACTGTTGATAGGTAGCAAATTTACTGAATCTGAATCTGTTAGGGTGGCCATGATGTCTTGCTAAAGGCCAATCTTGGTCTGTGTATAATGAGATGATTAATAGGGTGTTGATCACGATATTACTCACTAACAATATGATGTCTATAAGTCACACACTTAAAAGGCAATTTAAATAAGATAACGAGTAAGGGGTATTTTTGTCTTTCATAGACAAAGGGTAATTTGGTAAATCTTACGGAGCAATTAAATTTGCTAGAAAGGTTGTTGGCTGGATCCAATTCCATATTGGATTTAATTTGTAAGATTGAAGATTTATTTAAATATATATATTTGTGTATGCATATTTTAAATAAATAAAATGTCATTATATATATATATATATATATATAATTATTATTGG